ATCCTTGTAGTGTAGTGCAGTGAAGTTTTCTTTGTAGTTTGTAATTAACGTAATTGTTGTAAATTACGTATCGACCTGCACGTTCTTTTACTATCTCGTCGTCGCAATTGGCTTTTGTCCGAACATCAATTTCCTCTAACGATCTTCTCTTCTTTGATGGCCTTGGAGGTGGCTTAGCAGGCCAATCCTTGCATAAAATTTGCGAGGGCAGAGGGGGCACGGGAGGGTAGGCGGGGGACGAGGGGCTGCGAGGCAGCGTTTTTGTTCTTCATGCTTCTTTACGGCTTTGCGTCTCCATTCCGCTTCAAACATGGTAGTCCCGGTGAAAATAGACTGTCGCCAGCCGGATCGATTTATAAGTTATGCACTACACCAGTAAAAGAAAAAAACAAATAAAATACAAAAAAATATGGGCAATGCATGACTACAGCCAACAAAAAAAGGAGTCATGGTGCACGTGTTTGGTTCAGATGACACCAGATGCTGGACTGGCCAGAATGCTGCAAGTTCTTAAGGTATTTGTGGAACTGCTACAGGGAGGTGCGGCTCCACTAAAGGCGGTTTGTCTTATGGGTTCTTGGCATCAGAAACTGTGCTTGTTTACCAAAAGTAAGGAGGTAAATTAATGGGGCTACATGCCTTTTGTTTTGCAAACTATGAGTGTTGGCGAGTCGGACTGGAGCACCTTGAGAAAATGGAGGGGGGGCTAGGAACCCTTCAAAACAACATAATTCATTTTCAAATACACTTATAATCTATCATGTTTAAACAAAGGAAATCACAACCGTGGAGGCGTTTTAATGTCTAGTCTTAATTAGCATGGATTTGCACAATTTTTTTTCTCCGTTCTCTCCTTAGTTTTAGCTTTGAGCTTATTTCCAAGCACCTCGAATTTCATCATATGGAGCATATTGAAAATTTATAGACAAGACGAACGACATTTCCTGTGCAGTCCCGTCCTTACTATTCTGATGTTCCTAACACTGTTACTTTTTTCATTTGAGTGTGCACAATTAGTTATTTAAGCTAAATACTCCTATACTTACGAATAAAGTTAACTCATTCATTCTCTCTAAGTTGACTGGGAACCTATTGGTTGCTACAGCAACGGGTCCCCTAGGGATGCTTTCCCTTTCCCGAGATTATTTGACGAAAAAGTTAGTGCTAAAGGCCCTGATGCAATTTTCAACATACTGCAAGGGGAAAGCTGAAGCGCTTGGCTACAAGTGTTTTTTTGAGCAAGCAATAAGAGTTGCTGGTCAGGAGATGACGCCAAGAATGCTTGTAAGAAGTACGGGGAGTCCAAACTGTGCGAGTTTAGTAACAGGACCGCAATGGTTCGGGAAAGACGGTCAACGGAGAAGCACACATCTTCATTCATGCCAACCTTCTTCTCGTAAAAGTAAGTTCTTAAAGTTTAAATAATGCCATACGCACTATAAGAGGCCGGTTGATGATCCCGGTGAATGGAGTAGCGTGGTTCTATGTTGTGTACCTGTTACTCTCACGTTGACTCTCTGCTACTGGGATATATTGTCGTACCTGCGAGTTGTCAAGGCAACCAAAAAAAATGCCGGGAATTAGCTTGCTATGGATTAGGATCCCGTCCCGAGTAAAGACACAGAACTCGTACACGGATGGGCCAGGCCATCTCGTTACCCAATTCCAAGGACTGTAGCTTACTCTCCTTTAACTTGACAGCCGTTATATTTACAGATAAACCGTAAGGTCTCCATTTTTGGCTACTCGTGCTTTGCCCTTGGACCATGAATAGAAGAAAATTCGGGAGGGACTTGGTCTATACTTCACAGTAAGTACTTTGGATCGGGTAACAGCTCTCGCAAGGTCTCACATGAACGACTCAATACCTTTTGAGAGAAGATCTCTCTCCATTGTACGCCTTGCTCACAACTATATTAACTCATATATTATTTTTTGGAAGGAATGTTTTGTTGCTTACCCCCCTCCCTCAAAGCCCACCAGCCTCCCATCCTTCCACAGCCCCACCATCATCAAACAAAAACAAGAAACCTACACTGCAGGCTATGTTGCAAGCGATTATCAGGCAACATTAAACTCTCCCAATTACCTCTTTACACAAGCCAGACGAGCTCGACCCAGTAGCATTCTTAGGGTGGGAGCCTTTGGAGGAAAAGTTATAGTGGTCGTTGTCACACCATTTCGGGGGTTGAGATAGAAAATTATCACGCTAGTGTTATCTGAATTCTATTTTGGGGGTATAAGCCTGAACAAACATTATATGTGTGTTACCCGTCAAGAAAGAAGATACTCAACGCAATGTTCTAAAAGCATTTTAACAGAATGAGACAAATCGAGAAAAAATCCACTGATTTTTTTTGTTTATAGTTGACATCAAGAATAATGAGAAAGGGCATAAAAAAGCTAACGAAATTAATGAAGGTGTTGTTTCATTAAAATGTGTGTGCAAACAGTCTCACAAGAATGCGAGGAACAATTTAAAATTTTTTAAAGTAACCGAATTACACCTGTGTTTTATTACTACACTCCCGTGCTGGTGGGGTAAGTGAGGAGTAGACAGGAGGAACTCTCCTGTAAAAAGGTGGACAATATAGATAGAGGGAACCGTCGAAAATTTTAAACAGGACCTCGCTCACGGTACTAGCTGGATCTTGTTTGATTTAAAATCATTTATTAGAATGGCAATTATTTCTTTTGCAGATTCTTTTCCTTGGGCTGGACTTGCAATAGTAATTCTCGCCTTAATCAGAGGTTAAGGTTAAAAAATAGGTC